ATGATGGGTGAGGGAGAACTTCTTAACCCAACTCCATAATCTTGTGTTGCGTCAAACGTGCCACATGTGGACGTGCATTGACATGGAGAAGAACACCTTTCCGATTGACGAGTGAAAGGAGTTTCTGATGAAGGGCTTGATTTAAACATTCCAGTTGCTGACTATAGATCTCTGCATTGACAATTCGCTGTGGATTGAAGAGTTCGAAATGAATTACTCCTTCGATGTCCCGCCAAATGCAAAGCATCACTTTCTGCGGATGGAATCCAGATTTTGGGATCGGAAGTGGTTTTTGTCTAGGACTGATCCATTGTTTCTGGCGTTTAATATTCGCTTAGAGAATCCATTTTTCATCACCGGTGACAATTCTGTCCAAAATTGGTTCACGCGCATTACGCACCAGAAGAGACGCAGCAATGTTCACATTTGGAAACGATGATCATTGGAGAGTTCGTGAGGCACCTAATCACCTTCTTTATGGAGTTTTTCCCATATTCCTCAGATGTTTACGTATTGTTTTACGAGATACATACAATTTCTGGGCTATTTCACGAGTGTGTTGCCTTGGGCTAGACTCAACAAGCGTCTTCAGAGCATCAGTATCAATTCCAACATATTGGCCCCCTACCATCACAGTTTTTAAGGTTAATGTCACCTAAACGAAATTTGCTGAACCATCGTTGACACTTAAGAACGTTCAAAACATCTCCATAAACTTGTTTGATATTCTTTGTGGCTACAGAGGCGTTGTTTCGCTTATTGTATTCAAACAGCATTACATGTCGAATGTGTGTCTCGTCGTGTGGCATCACTATAAGGGATTAGTGTATACTAAACTTTACACACATATAGGCTACACTAACGTGAGGTTTAGGCGGATCGTTTTTAGGGGGTGGTTAATGAAAGTGTTCCAAAACGCGACATTGCTTTCTTGACGACCTAATATGTTAAGACTTGAGAGGCTTCAAACAAACAACTTAAAGGAATAAATATATTAATTATCTGTCCGAGAGGAAATACAAACTTATTTTCTTACATCATTTTATATTTAACAGTATTGATGTTTTGTGTTCATTTACTAAGTTGAGTACAAATAATAACAAATATTAAAGTGTTGATTTTCTGCAATAACACTAGTAAAACCATTTTGCTTAACTGGCAGTAACTTGTTCATGTCACAAGTGAGAAATTTCTATTCTGTAAAGCAGTGGGGGACATGACCATATTTTCTTTCGTTTTTCGTTTTTTTTTTCTTGTTAAGCTAAGTTTATTGTTGTTATTACTGGATGCATATATTTATATCCTTCACTGTTTAAATGGGGGGGGGGGCGAGAGGGCAAAGTATATTAAAGAGAGGAAAAGAGAGAGTGCAACCTAAAAACTTTGATAAATACTGCTGTAGACGTTCGATCAATGGTAATATTTAAATAAACGGTGTTCTTCTGAGCACTGACCATGAAGTAAGACGTGAATTGAAACCGCACATAAATCATGTTCTTTGGCATTATTAAGGTATGATGAACGGATGACAAGCTACTACTCTACATGCAACAATTAAACCCAGTTAAGGTATGATGAACGGATGACAAGCTACTACTATACATGCAACAATTAAACCCAACTGTGAATAATTTCTTAAAATGAACAGTGCAATTGATATTGCTAAAGGGATACACTTGTAGTTTACGGCATGCATACAACTCTCTATCTTTATATAGATATATATAATATACAAAATTAATTATATTTAGCCAAAATTATATATTAATTAAAGATATAATAAAACAATACAATACTTTCAGGCTTAGATTTATATAGTTCATATCAAGGTACTTAGATTTATGTAGTTGATATCAAGGTACTTAGATTTAGCTTAAAGTTAGTTCGTTTGTTTTAGAGCAAAGCCACATAGAGCTAGCTATCTGCTGTGTCGGCCACGAGGAATCAAAACACGGATTTTAGTTTGTAGACTTACTGCTGTCTCATCGGAGGACTTAAGTTAGTTAATAAGGTTTTGTTTTAAAGAGTTGTCATTGGAATTGAAAATTTAGTATATTGTAAACATAAGACAAATTATTATGGAAATTAGTTAGATAACAGTAAATTATATTATATTATATTAATTCATCAGTAGAGTATTTTTTTTTCATCCTAAAATTACCGCACTGTTTGTATATTTTTCGATACCGTGAGGTCTACTAAATGTATCGTATTGAGTGATTGTATATTCTGCTTGTTACATCACTAATAAAAACAAATGAGCGAAATATTTCATGAGCAGAAAACATGTGCAGTAATTAGTGGGATTAATTGTAACACTGACGATGTTTTGTTAGCAGTTAATAGTGAATTCATTGTAACACTGACGATGTTTTGTTAGCAGTTAATAGTGAATTCATTGTAACACTGACGATGTTTTGTTAGCAGTTAATAGTGAATTCATTGTAACACTGACGATGTTTTGTTAGCAGTTAATAGTGGATTCATTGTAACACTGACGATGTTTCGTTAGCAGTTTGAAACTTGAAACCAGTATGTAAAATAATCCATTGATTTATGATAAGACAAGGCATAACTGAAACTTCTGTTTCTTTAATTAATGTCAAAATCAAGGTGGAGCACGGAATAAGAATTCATATAAAACCAATAACTAAACTTGGCCAATGACTATTACACAGATTGGAAATTATAAAATAAAATACAATTCTGCTAATTACATATCAAGTACAATACATTGATTGCGCGTTGCATTCCTTTGTCATACCGCGGCCCGGCATAGCCAGGTGGTTAGGGTGCTTGACTCGTAATCTGAGGGGCGCGGGTTCGAATCCCCGTTCCTATAAACATGTTTGTCCTTTCAATCTCACTATTCGTTCGTTAAAGAGGAGTCCAAGAGTTGTTGGTGATGCCTAGCTGCCTTCCCTCTAGTCTTTCACTGCTAAATTAGCGCAGATAGCCCTCGTGTAGCTTTGCGCGAAAATTCAAAACAAACCAAACCTTGTTATACCGCATACAATACTTTACATATTTTCACATAGACGTTTTACATTCTTCCCATATAGTGAACTTTCCCAGTGCGCATTCAATATTCCGATTACCACACTTCTTCATTATGGGTATAAAGAAACGAAACTATATAGTGAATGTAAAGTAAACGTTTCTAAATCATGGGTTATCATCAATGAATGTTACCATGGATTATCATTAATCATTGTTACAGTTTGACTGAGAATGTTGAACACAATGTTTTTCATGTGTTTGAAGTTAGAAATATTTGAATGGTAGGATTTCGTATATTAAGAAATATAACGAATTCTTATCGCTGGTAGTGTTTTATTATAAAGAATTCAGACTTCTTTTTATCCCGTTCAACTGTCAAACTAAGTACAAGGAATGGTTTTAAATATTCAGCAACTTCAAAATCAAATTATCTACTTGGAATGGCATTGAATCATTTCTCTCACACACACTTCAGTATTTATATCCTTCGTTGATAGTGTAACCTGTAAATGAATTATGTAAAAAGATAATAAGCCTTCTCATTGTCAATGACTCTTTGGTAATTATGTTCGAAAACACACATACCTCAATAGTATCCTGAGGTTTAAAGTATTGAAATTTTGGAAGCAACGTTTAGTTATGTATGAATTTACTGAACTTTCCAATGCATGATTGTTACACAAGAATTGGTGACAGTAGTTTAACTATTTTCTATTCTTACCCGAAGACCTGTTTTAAACAGGAAGTTTAAACCAGCTCGTGAATTTGGCCTGCGGGTGCTCGAGCCACACCATGCCGGGGGCAAGTCGCTTGACACCTGGCAGTGAATGAAAGTAAGCGGATGATATGAACAATCTACATCTGTTAGTTTCGTCGTGGCCCAGATTTGGGGCAAAAGAATAAGGGAGGCGACAAGGGTTGAGCTTTCCTATAAAAACCCAGGGTGCTCCTGCTGGAAGGATATATCAAACTATTTCTCTGCTCACGTAGTGAATTATCCACACTTCTGGAACCAACATGTTTAAGGTAAGTTAGAAAACGCTCAATATTGTTTAAGAACTTTGGCAATAATCCGAAACAACTTTCCACATTTCAACATTCTTATCTGATTTCAGAGAGGCATAACTTTGTATTTCGACATTATATATATTTGATTGAAACTTGTAAAAGTTTAAAGAATCAAAATATTTCTGTGACCAGTCTTTACTGATATCCTGAAATATCTTTAAAAACAGTTTCCAAAATTTAGATGGTAGATTCAAAATAATTTTGAAAATATGAACTGTCTTGTCACTTCTTCTTGACACGCAATGTCAAATATATTAGTTAATTAACCACAAAGTTTGACTTCCACTAATCCTGGTAACAAAGCTGAATTTACGGTTTTTAAATTGTTTTTATTGTATATAAGTTATATAATTTCCTTCAGACCTTACTATGAATGCCACAAGTTTTCTTCTTTCTTTAATGCATATCGTATGTAGAACTTTAACGAAAACTATAGAATATGCGAGGAATCTTAGATAATTATTGTTCAGTAATAAAATATATTATTATTGTTCACGTTTGTGATTATTTAAAGAAACTATTTTTTATTGTTCAATTTCTAATTGAAGTAATATTTTTTCGGTCTTTACAGATTGTCGTCCTTTGTCTCGCCGCGGCATATGTCTCTGCCCAATACGCCCCTCAGTATGGCTATGCTCCACAACCTCACAAAGCTGTGAAAGTCGTCGCAGCTCCAGCATATCGTCCTCCCGTTTATGGACAGCACCCCTACCAAAATGATCCTTATGTAAGCCGTAGCTTATATTATATAGATTTAAATGTATTTTCCTAATTTCTTTAAGAGAAAATAAGGTGGAGGAAAACTATTTCTAATATGTTTACTAATTAAAGTATTGCGGGGTGTTCCCCTCACGATAAACTTTGATATTGGAAATACTTTGGAATATTTTTGGTTTCACAATTCTTAATTAAATTATTGAATATTAAAATAAACCTTTTTAAATTTGTTATACATTTAACAATTTATTGGTGAAAACATGATATGCTCCAGCTTTTAAACCTACCAAAAATATCTACAGAAGGATAATTAATTAATAACCTCTTTTACATTATTGGTGAAAACATGATATCGTCCAGCTTTTAAAACCTACCAAAAATATCTACAGAAGGGCACATCTGTAAGTATAGCTTATTTATTTGTTTGTTCAAAACAAAACAGGAATAGTTCGGTCTGTTTGAGACGCTTAAAACTTGAATATTTATCTTATTGAAAGATTCGGCTATAATTTAGAATCTCATCTCTTAAATAGGCCAAACCCCAGCCATACAACTTTGGTTATGAAATCCGAAATGACTATGGGGATCGTCAATGGCAGCAGGAACAAGGTGACGAATATGGAAACAAGCAAGGTTCCTTTGGTTACACTGACGCTTATGGAATCAGCCGCCAAGTGGAATACGTTGCTGATGAGGGTGGTTTCCGTGCTAATGTCAAAACAAACGAACCCGGTACCGCAAACCAGAATCCTGCTGACGTCAACGTCTATTCTGATGCACCTCCTGTGAAATATGATGTACCCCCGAAGGGCTACGCTCCCCATAACCTGGGATATGCCGCCCCTGCTCCTAAGATCGTCAAAACTGTTCGTCCCGTAGCCTACGCTGCTGCTGCTCCTGCTTATGGTTATGCTCACCCAGTTGCTTACCCTTATGCTCGCCCTGCCGTCTATGTTAAACCAGTGAGGGCCTACCAACCTTACTAAAAATCAATAATTTGAATTACAAAATTTCTATACATGTAACCTAAAGTCAGATGGCCTATGGCAAAGCGGCTTCTTAGAAGACAGTTCGATGTTTCTCTCTGTATAGTTCCTGGCTTGCATCACTAGAGGACGCTAAAAATGTCAGTGACAAAAGATGAGAGTTATTTGTATAGTTTTTTTTTGCTTTTTGTTTTTTCTGCCTCATTAATTTCATTTGCTTGATTTCATGAACATTATCACGGGTAATTCTTCCAAAATTCTATTAACTTGCATGCATTTTTTGGATGCTGTACACATTTTATAATAAAATTGTGTTTTCAAAATATATTTGTCAATGCGTGTTTTAATGATCATTTTATGAAATCTTATATTACAAATAATAAACTTAGTTTTATATACAATTGACTTCAACAGGCATTGGGATACTAGTTGCTAATGAAAAATCCCCCTTTTATTTTTCACTTTTCCTTCTTTAATTATGATTGACAAGCAAAAGTACTCGTCCCCAATGGCGGGAAAAGTTTAAGTTAATCTAACAAAAGCACCCGTCCCCAGTGGTGGGAAAAGATTAAGTTAATCTAACAAAAGTACCCGTCCCCAGTGGTGGGAAAAGTTTAAGTTAATCTAACAAAAATACCCGTTCCCAGTGACGGGAAAAGTTTAAATTAATCTATCAATTTAAATTATTTCATGAACTTTTAACAGGTTAATTGTGTTGCACTCTTTGCTTCACTCAGAGCCAAAGCTCTGAGCTACTTATACCGCCCACCGCAAAAAGTAACTGTTGAACATTTCAGTCACGCTAAGTGCTGCTCAACAATAACATACGGTAAATCTACATTTTTATTATTTAGATTACGTCACATTTTGAAATGTGAATAATAGTGTGATTAATTCCTAACAATTTAGTGTATAATATCCTGCTTACGAAATATAATTTGGATTCAACATGATTCATGCCTGTTCTCTCGTCATTTCAAAAGTGAATGTTGAGCTTTGCCTGCCTGCGCACCTTTTCAAACGCAGCGCGGGAAGCGGTTGCCGTAAACAGGAGACAGACGAACGTTCGAACACACAACACGATTCGCAATATAAAGTATATAAGATATGATTATCTACACCAGGGGTCACCAAACTTTTTTCACAGCGGGCCAGATAACTGAGAGAATGACGAGCGCGGGCCGCATAATCATTTTGTTCAATACAACACAGTGAATACACAAAAAATAAAGATAACAAACATGTTTATTTTCCAAAAAGTTCTCAAAGAAGGCGACGTTAGCAATAACATAGTTATATCACATCCAGTGCGCACATATCCGAATCTCACAAACTAAGCAACAAAAAAGGTTTGTGAGATTTGTGAAACTGGCGTTTAGCTTTTGAGATATCATCAATATT